AATAAATCTTAGGTTCCAGGGTTTTTGAATAGCCGGGTCTTGGAAGCCAATCCTTCCCAGAACGTCTATGGGTAGAACGGGTGATTCTAAAATAACTTAAATGTATGCTACGCAAACCCTCATAGTTTTAGGGGTAAGAATTCTAAGCTAAGTTTGATGGCGGGTGGATTAGGTCCCCATTTAATTGCTGTCACAGGAATATGGCTCATCGTAGACGCAGACTATTCTCTAATTATTGCAAGATACATCCGTATTAAAAGCGATAAAGTTATAGGTCGCATGGGAGGAGTCATATAATTGTATCTCGTGCATCATTTTCGTTAGCAGTCGTGCACATCAGAGGCGCACATAGTGGTACATGTGGGATAGGTTGTTGAGAAATCAAATCTAGCCATGGGTTGGGAACTATGAGAGGAATATACCGTAGTCTATGTTATTTTACTGTCGACTTTGTCTTTAGTTGTATCTGCTCTTGGGGTGAGGCAGTTTACTGTTTCATCATTGGAGGTTTGAACGCGCCTTATATCAACCAGATAGGGACTATGCTATCTCAAAAGATTGGTCAGTCACTGCAGATGGGTCGATTGAAGATGAGTGGGGTTAGTTTACAGCCACATTCAAGTCCGTAACATTAACGTTCACTCGATGATCAACAGGTAGGCTATCACATTGCCCTCTAGAGATTAATAAGGAAAGCCGAATGCTGTCTAGCCGTAGGAAACACTTCTGGCAATTGTCCTTGTCAACAAGCCACAAACCATTCAAATAATAATGAAATATCCGGAATATATGTAAAAAGGACATAGATAGATGCCTCACTACTTTTGAAGGACAGTCGGCACATGATATTCCTACCTGCCCAAGACGACTGTTTTTGTCCATTAAATGGAGAAGAAAGCGTTGTGATGGTATTGCTCCATCATTTTTGCACGAAAAGCCAGATATATTAGCTGAGTAAGATCTGAAAAAAGTTGGGACTCTACCACTTTACTTCAGTGAAGTCTACTCAACGGGTACTGTTAATAACGCATAATAATCACAACACTGAAATACCAGCTACAGAACACGTACGTGTGGTTGGGGAAGTTATCCTTCAATTCCCCATTAACCTCAGACCCAGTAAGACAACAGACCCTGGTGGGTTGCATCCGCTATTCCTATCATCTTTTGCAGACATCGTTTCAGTGCCATTCACGATTCTGTTTGAAATGTCACTTTCCTACACTCAACTCACTAGGGATTAGAAAAAAACCATACTAAGTCTCCAATTTAATTATGAAAAGGGACAGGTCGTGTCTAAATACCGATCTATTGACCTGACTAGCAAGGTAATTAAGCTACTTGAAAAGAACAATTAATTTCAAGTTACCAAGTTCCATAGAACCATACACTCTATTATCTCCCAAGCATCACGGGTTTCAGAATAAACATTCATGCCTAACCAGTTTACTAACTGTGAGAGATGATTAGAGAATATCTCAGGATTATGATGTGATATTCATAGGTTTTAGCAAAGCAAAGGTTTCCCACTTGAGTCTTATTCGGAAGCTCTCGAGGTTTAGAATAACAGGTGTCGCACAAAAATGGATAAGAAACTTCCTCTTGGACGAAAACAGAGAGTGGGGGTAAGTGAGACACTATCTGAATGAAAGCCAGTCAAAAGTGGTGTATACCAAAGCATCTCCAGGCTGACCTAGACGAATTATTCATATGGTTCCAAAGCTGGGGTCTAGACATTAATTCTAGAAGGAGTATGTTACTGCATATCGACATGCTAATAGTCACCAGTATTCTATAGACAGTAAAACGCTTCCACGCATTTAGGAGCATAAGGACGTTGGGCTAACAACAAGTAATGATTTAAAAACGACCGTGTATTGCAACGCAGAGGCCACCGAAGCTCTTCGAGCGTTTCGGTCACTTTGTTGAGCACTTAAATGCTTTGAACGATATATCCCCTCTGTATAAGATCACAACTAGAGTACATTGTCCAAGCAGTCGGTTCATGTCTTATTAACGATACTGACGCGTTTCAGCGTGCTCAGAGTGCAGGAACAAAAGTTAGTGAGGGGTCATTCCAAACCCCATTACGATGAACACTTAAAACACTTGAACCTTTCCTCTTATCGTCTCGTTGAAAAGAAGGTGATCTTATATTGGAATTCCGTATGTTTAATGACTACTTGGAAGTTTATATGTTCCATCTTTTCGCGTTCAGAACCAATATTCACCAAGGCCATAGCAAGAAGGTTCAAAAACCTCGATCTTATAAACTCAGAGTGGGGTTCCATTTTCTGACCTAGTAGTCAAAATCCGCATCATCTTACTCGAACAAGTGGCATCAGCCCTATCAGTGGGCAGTGTGAAGGAGATTCTGGCCTTTAACTGGAAAACAGTCTCCAAGAATTAACACAAGTTCACTGTGCGCACTATCCTTACTACTGAGGACTAGATGACTGATTTTTCTCGCTTTCCAGTTCGAAAAATAATACCACAAAGATTGTATCTTTCCACAATAACGTACTATCTAACACCACTCAAACCCAAAAATAGCAGTCCATTAATTCTACTTGGCAAAGCTTTGATATTTGAAGTTTGAAACGTGGATATTTTGAAATATCTAGTCAGCTGATAATGAGCGCTAGTGTGGTAGCGGCTCTGGTAAAGTTCGGTGAAACCCTTGGAGACAAGTCGGTTGACACAAGTTCGGTTAGTAGTTCAATAGATTTACGATTCCTGTCACGCAAATCCTTTTTTATTCGAAAACTCTCCAACCAGGAACCTGGTTAAATGTGTTTAATCACGGATAGTGTCATTCCACTCTGATAGTATAGGTCACCAAAATACTCCCAACGGGTTTGGATATAAATTATTATGACTAGCTGATTTTGTTTGCGGCTTTCACTAGAACAGTTTTGGGCTTTGGTTACTATATCATTTTCCTTTTCTTTGCATATCAGTATTTGTGAAGTAGTTGGGTCATATTCTACACATTCTGCGTTACTGTTTACACGAAACCTCAACATTAAGTGAAGTAGGAACAAAATCTAAAATTTGACTTTGATTTAATCAAGGCATGGTAATCTAAGAAGTTCAGATTCAGATTTGTGTAGTAAGGACAGGCCTATTGCCTATGTTATTCCTTTTCTAGTATGCTTCTGTGAGTGTCCAGTCTTCTATTGAATGAATCAATTGAAAGTGCGAACACTACTGCTTCTGGCAGCAGGTTTCAAGTATTTATGACTCGGTGTGAAAACCTGTATGCCACGGGTATTTTGTTCGTTCTAGGCTTTTCTACTCTCCTGCTATGTCCTCTGAGATGTCCCAATCTAGTGGAAAGAAAACGAGAGAATAAGTTAGGTCCAAAATCATTTCTCAGTATTCTGCACATCAAAATTATATCCCCCATTAATCTGCGATAGGACGGGGTGAAGAAATCTAGCTTTTCAAGCTGCTCTTTGTATGGTAAACCCCGGAGTTCTGGAATTGCACGGGTAGCTGCCCTCTGTACTTTTTCTAGGATATCCAGGTCACCTTTTAAACACGGGCTGGAGCCTGAAGGCAGTTCTCAAGCTTAGTTCTCACTAAGGATGTGTACACTTTGGTGAACATGGTAGTATCTAGTTTAGTGAATGTCCGTTTTAATGCCCAGAGTGTTCGAAACCCCTTAGCTGCAACCTCCCGGCAATGGGCCGTCGCCTTAAGATCATGACTCACTGTCACCACTAGATCCTTATGAGACCAGACCACGGGTATAACCACTTCCCCTATGTTGTACCTATTAACCTTTGAATCCCCAAAGTGCATGTAGACACACTTTGCCGGGTTGATAGGCATCAGCCACTCTTTAGACCAGTTAATCATATTATTTAAGTCTGCCTAAAGAGCACATGCGTCTGTGTCTCCAGTTATTACTCGCCAGATCTTTACGTCGTCAGCGTATAACAGTATTGGAGACTGTACTATGCCTGGAAGATCATTAACATACACTATAAAAAGTAAAGGACCTAGGACAGAACCTTGAAGTACCCCACTAAGTACTGGTCCCCAGATGGAGCACTTGGAATTTGTTCTTACTTTCTGTCTACGATCTAATAGGAAATTTTTAATCCATTTTAAAAGAGGTCCGGTAATACCAAGGTTTTCCAACTTCAATAGCAGTGTATTAGTTGGCACCTTGTCAAAAGCCTTACTGAAGTCTATGTAGACAACATCCACTGAGTTTCCGTTGTCTAGCGCCTTTACCCAAAACTCCCTTGCTATAAGGAGGTTTGTTGTACAAGATAGACCCTTTCTAAAACCATGTTGTTCTATATTTATCAAGTTATTGGTTTCCATACATGTCATTATGCTCCGTTTGACTATTCTTTCCAATATTTTAACTACAACACTGGTGAGGCTTACAGGTCTGTAGTTCGATGGGACTTGTCTTGGTCCTGTGTTATGTATGGGAGTGACGATTGCGTCCTTCCAGTCCATAGGTAACACACCTTGGTCAAGTGACATATTGAATATCACAGTCAGTGGGGCCGCGATATATTGTGCAATATGCCTCAAGATTTTGCAGTTCATCTGGTCCTGTTGACTTTTCCATGTTTAAAGTGCTAAGAGCCTTAAGCACATCTTCTTGATCGAATTCCACGGTGAGCAGGTGGTTTGTTGACCCTGTATTTGGGTCTGGTTCTTTGTCTAGAGGAGGTTCCTGAGTGAAAACGGCCACAAAATAGTCAGCCAAAGACTCTGCTTTTTCCTGATCTTCCTCTATCATTTCAGATTCACTCCCTTCTTTAATTAGGTTGGGAATCCAATGATGCATCCTTGTTCTATAGTTTACATACGAGAATATTCTCCTGGGCTGCTTGAGTGCAGATTGTGCCAACTGCATTCCATTTTTTCTTTGAGCTTCCCGAATTTTTGTCATACACTTGTTTCTTACCGATCTGTAGCGTTCCATCGTACCTGCTGTGCCAAGTTATTGTAGTGATTAAAGTTGTTTGGAGATGCGTCGTCTTGCTGGTAGCGTCTTTAGGGTGATTATTTTTCGTCATGTAAGTTGTTTAATAACATGACCCACTGGTTATTACAATCACAACTTAGCCTCCAAACGTTACCGCTTCAATATTCTATGTATTTTCCCTTCCACACTCTCGTTTTAATATTTCCAGGATTGTGTATTTCGTTTTCTTTTGCTTCAAAATGTAATTACTTGAAGTGATGGATTCGTAAACGACCTATTTTCATCTCTGACAGATTTGTTTGGAGAATAACGATCACATGTTCTGGTTTGAAGCTTGTTTGCAACTGCTATTCACATTAAATTTCTAGTACGAATTAACGGTAATAAAAATCCCGTTCAGTACCCAAGTTAAGGTTCGTATAATTGGTTCTGCGCTTCAGCAACTGACAGTAGTCCTATCATCCTACAGCGATGCTTCATAGAAATGTACATTTAAACTTCTAACTTCGTAAATATTTTATCATTAGCTAAAGCACATTCATAAAATAGTACAAGATACATTACCAAGCAAACACCTTGTGATACCTTACTAATCCTTTTGATCACCCTCATTCCGCACATCCATTCCAGACTTATTTTATTCATGTGATTTTTATTTTATTTTGCTTTCATGTGGTTTGAAATATATCCAGTTTTCACGTCACTCGTCAGTTCTCGTCTCCGTATTATCACAAGCTACTGGTTCTTCATTAACTGACACGAAGGTTTCGTTACTTTTTCTTTTAGAAACTACGTGTGCTGAGTACACTCAACGAGGTAAAGCTTACTCTTAGTGAGTTATCAGAGTCTGGTGTTGGTCGTGCTGTTCGTAAATTAAAAAATGAACCCGGTGAACTTGGAAAAACTGCTAGTACCCTTATATTAAAATGGAAAAATCTACTCAGTGAGCATATAAAACAAGAATCCATAAATATCAGTGTGCCCAAGGATTCCGAAAAATGTGATGTTAATGAAACATCCAAAAGTCTCAGACAGACTTCAAGTAAGGGCAAATCAGTGTCGGTTATCAATGACAAAACAATCAACTCGACTAAAAGTCCTGGGAATAATTTAGGGAGGAATGTGCAAAATTTAGATGAAGATGACGTGGTCCCAAATGCTCAAAATAATTCGCTGCTTCATACAACTGCAAATTCTGGTTGTCTTCCAAACACTTCTACTTCTGACGATTCGTGTTCATACCCTAAAGTTAACCATAAGTTTCCAAATAGTAAAGTTAAATCGACATCTAGCAAAAAACGAAAGTCCACAGAGATCGTGGACTCAATCGACTCTTCTAGTGGAATGTCGTTTATGGATTCATTAAATGTCAACGCAAACACTCGCACTCATCGAAAGAAAAAGTGTAATCTAACCAGTGCTCCAAGTGATGATTCCCAACAGAGCGTCGACAAAAAGCTTGATATAACTCCTCTGAATATTCCACTTCGACCTTCTGAAGCATTTAGTGCAGAAATTATCTCATCACTTTCTGAACCAGTTAATCGTCCAGATATCGTTCATCGTTCACCTAATTTTCGGCTAAATGAAACAGGTGAGTAGTTCTCCAAATATATGCTTTTTAAGTAGTTAGTTAAAATTGAAACTCCAGATGATTCAGTAATTTTTGTCTTAATGTAAATAACTGGCGAGTCCAGGTTTGTGTAATGGACCTCGAGCATCACATTGGATGTGACAACTAATGTATTTGCAGCGGATTTCTGAATTACAACCCAATAGTTATTATTCAAGTGGCTTATTCACCACCTTACCTTCATTTAACTGTTGAACCCAAATATCTTTTAAGTATATTCGATTTTTTCAGCCGTTATTTATTCTGGTTTCCTAGTGTTTAGTATTTTTTTCTTGTTGAGAAATACAAAATTTAATATCTTCGTAAGTTGTAGAACTAAAGGGAATGTTAAAAAGTGTTCATGTCTACTTGAGTAGAGTAAATTTTATAGAGCTAGTTACAATTAAATCTGATTAGGAGGCTTCTTCTATACGTATCTCAATCTTTAGGCATCTTAAAGAAGGATATCTCTTATTAATGATCATTCCTATCTTGTAATGGCTACCATTTTTGCTGTAGTGACAAGGTAAAATAAATCATATTCGGGTTTAAAAACGTCTTGAACACGAGGTCTTTTCGTTTGTATCTTGTTATCTCGAACAAATAAACGTAACCCTTTGAGTATATGGGTTTTTTGGGGCAAGCTAATATGGAAGATGTGGTGTTATAAGCTAACCACTTGAATGATTTGCCGTCCGCTCATATTAGCGATCAGGAACGTTCGGAATGGAAACTTATGGAGTGCTATCCATGTTTAATGACTAGATGAAGGTTTCCGTTGTGTCGAAACATAAACCAGACCTCTAAGTAACCTGGCTAGTGTTCCCATTATGCTGACCGGTCCTTCAGAGATAATGATACGATATAATTGTTGAGAATCCTCAGTCTAAAAATCACAGGTTTCACAGAGGTAACATCATTACTAGCACTTGAGTGTTTACAATCAACCTTCGGTGACCAGAAGTTTTAATTGTTCTAATAGTGATTCTGATTGATGTAAACAGATAATCTCCAAATATAGTTCTTCAGATAAATAAATAATATATTTGTAATATCCCAATGAGTAGAAAATCTAATTTTCTACTCATTGGGATATTACAAATATATTATTTATTTATAACCATCAACCCAATGCTCAATTTATTCGAAATTATCAAATCAAACCTTGGTAATGATACCTATAGTTCTTCAGAGTTGTGTTCAGATGACGATTATTCCCTCTAGCACATGCCATCAGATTCAGTCATTTGATTTATTTATTTATTTATTTTAACACATAGGTATTGGTACAAGGAGGCACCAAATACATATGCGCCACACGAATCTCAATTGATTTGTTTGAGGGCTGTGATACTGCTCGGGTGCCCAAACTGAAGCAGGTGGTTTTCTTAGGGGGCCACACCCCGAGCCTTTGACCTGAACGTCTGATCCACAAGGCAGTGGAGCATCGTGAGGAGATGCAGTCCCATGGTAGCCGGTGACCAACGATCGGTTCATACGCCATTTGTTCCTTCAGGATACTGGAGCCCATGTGCACCATTGATTTGGGATCCGGGTAAAGCGCCAGACATTCGTTTTTCGTCCTCTCATTTTCGTAAACAACACCCCCGCCACGTGAAGGCAGTGAGTAGGACTTCCCTGGCAGGGGCTATGTACGCGTGGCCATGTGAGAGCATTTCGAGAGGGAGAGCGGACTCTCCCCACTCTCGGCCGTACCAGGGCATTTGGGGTAGATACAAATCTGATTAACATGCCTACGGTTTAAATGAAATCTGTCTTTATCCCCTCCGGCAAATATGGTATGTTTTACATAATTTGGCTAGTAAGATGATATACTTATATCAGAGGGAAACACACATATTATCATCTAATCTTCATCAGGCTGTTAATACATGAGCGAGACTATGGTTTTATTTTTGGGATCTGACAATTTAAATTTCCTTCATTAACAAACCAACCAGTGGCAGGTCGTCTGAGGCGTGTGTTTTGTACCGTTTTAAGAGTTAGAATTCCTTTTTGAATCCTTTTGTATAGGGTGGGCCGATATTCACCCATCAACAACCAATCTATAGTTGGATAGAGGTTGCGGAAGTGATAGGTCATTTATATTGTTTTTCTAAAATATACCACTCTTTGTTCTTAGCGCCTTTAAAGGTTGCTAATCGATGTACCATCAACCTCAGATCGTTTTATCGACATGGCTTCTTGGTGCTAGTGATTAATTTGTACCGAAACAGCTCTTAGTAGCCATCAAACATGGCTTCGGTTTCCTTCTCAGGTGAAGCGCTTCTTACATGAATTTGTGAGATTTCGCGTAATGGACATAAGGAAAGACTTTAAAAAGTGCTAAAAAAACCCTATGCTAATGATAAAACCTTCTTGCGAAATAGCAAACAATTTCACCTGCTTTTTCAACCACTAAGTTAGTGTTTGGAAGTAGTGGACAAGAAACTCTGAGCCTAGGTTTCTTGCTATTTGCCGCTCATCAGCAAGATGTACCTGTAATCTTGAGGCGACGTGTGCTCCCCGGCGTTTTCGACCGCGTATCACTCAGCTTCACAGTCTAAGAAGTTACTACCAAACTCTCCGGGCCGCTACTTATCTTCTGTAGAAAACCTACCTCCAAACACCACCTTAAATCCCAACATCGCGCACGCAATGTCGAGTCACTTAAACTGGTGTAACTTATCAGCACTAAGAAGGACTTGACATACATGACATTAGTCACTACTCAGTGATAGACCATTTGTGTGGAAATTGTAGTCAATGCTTGCCTAAGCTTCCTGGTGAGATAGAACTGCATATATGTAAATATCTGTGGTTAAAAGTGGCTTAAAATCTGACGCTTCGTGTACTTAGTTTTCCGCTTTCTCTTATATTGTTTTAGACTCCCTTAATTGCCATCTTATTAATCTTACTCTTTCTTTGCAACAACTTGGACTGATTCATTTATGCATAGTATCTTATACTGATTGACTTAGTTATTCAGTTGAATTTACATTAACGGTATATATTTTTTTATGTGTAGAAGTGCACTTTAATTGCAGTTTGTATTTTCCTTTAAAAAAAAACAACTTTCAGTGGAAGACGATTTCGATAATGGAGATTTAAAATTCAAATCAAAGAAAGTTCTTTGGGTACCAAAACAAAACCGTTCATCATTACCTCCTAACAATCATTCGAATTCATCGGATAATTTTCCTGGTTTCTTTGATCCTCCCAGTTTAATTGATCTTTGTGTTGATGTATTGACTCGTAATATAAGTCGTATTGATCATGTCAGAGAAGTACCTTATGAATTACTTGCGAAAGTCTTACGTAGTGCCTCGGTAGATGACTTGACCAGAATTGAACGCTATAATCCAGTAAGTTATTCTCTTGGTTTCTAATCAACTAATATAAACTAAGTGAGCTATTTGAATTTTTCCACATATGACTGACAACTTGTTTTTTTTTACACTAAATTTAATTGGTTTCTGTCATTGTCCACATTTACTCGGTTGAGGTCCATATGATAGCCGTAATTATCTGTATTTGGAGATTTCCCCTTGATATTGAATCGCAGTATCCATTCATGCATATTTTAGCGCTCGGTCTTGAAATCATAGCTCCGCTGTTTATCCTTTCTTTTTATCATTAGCACTGCATTACTCCGATCTCGTATTTTATTTTTATCTCGTCGGCATGGTGACCTGGGTCAATGCATATCTATACCAGGTTTTATATTGGTGATTTCTGTCCGTCATTGTCTAGATACACTAATAAATATTGCAGGAAACGACAGAGAAAGGGTCACTAACAACTAATGAAGATTGAGATCGACAGGGCATACTGTTGGTCATATACAGGAAGTTTAAATAGCTATCCATCACTTAGAGTTTGTGCTGATGATGTCTCGAAGGACTGTAAACAGAGCTAGAAAATCTATTCCAAAAATAAACATTGGACTGAAAATCTATTTTTTTTTATTTGCATTACAATCTAGTGCAAATTAAAGTGGCACTTGTAAAAAGTTTTTATTATTATGCATCCATACTTGTTCGATTTTTACGGGTAACAACTATTAGACGTGTTTTCATCTATGTGATGATTGTCGTCTTTAGTTTTGTTAAGAGATTAGTACTTAGCTCGTTTTGCTTCTAACTGTTATTTAATAATCACCTCCCGCTAATTGTACTCTTGAGAATTTCCAAATCATACAGCAATGTACACGCTTTAACCGAAACTCGATTTATATAGGGAAAATAAAAGTCAGTCTGTTGGGGAATTTTCTTACTTAATTCAAGTAATATAGATATCGAACAGTTGAGTTTCACTACTTCATGTTTAATAAAAAATTCATTTTAACTTATAATATTCTAATTTTGGTCTAATAGTCAATCACAGTTACTCAACAGTCAGGAGTAATTCTCTACTGCCATATAACCAAAAGCATCCTTAGTTGATTTTCTGTGTTAATCCTGTAGCAACTTGAATGAATGCACATATGTCCCAGGTTTTACGGTGCATATGATTGACTGACTGACTTTTATGATGAGGTGACGACTTCATTTCTTAACCATCGTGGATACTCAACGGCATATTGTTCGTAATACTTAGGCAGCTTCAATACTGTTCTCATTTCTATTGTGAATATCTGGTTATGGTGTTTTTATCTACACTTGACTTTGAGCCACGCCGACCGATTGGCCAAACTGAAATAGGAATAGAGTGAAATTCGAATTCACGGCATACTAACTGAAAGCTTAGTATTTTAACCACTAGTTCACTGCTTCACTGATAGTGGTTTTATCTGGACAGTTGTTTTTAAGTAATACTTGTCAAGTAGCAAATGTATATCCAGATAATATTTGTTAAAATTGTAATTTTTAAATGTAACAGAAGCTTTCTGTGTTAACTTATCCATATTTTGTTTTCTTAGCAATTCGTCGGATTGAATGATGATTTATGGCGTAAATATGTAAATCGAGATTTTCATCATTTATCTAATATTCGTCGTCGACCAGATGAAACATGGTGTGATTTTTACAATCGATTATCTAAAGAAGAAACAAAGCGTTTAGATCGAATTATTTCACAATCTGCACGTAAAGTCAAAGAAGAACTAGAAAGTAAGTTAATTAATAAAGTTATTATACATTGAAAAAAAAACCGTTGTCAATAATTTTAAGTACATTTTAGACAGATATATTTATATGGTATGATTTGTTAATTATTACTATTATTATTATTATTATTATTATTATTATTATTATTATTATTTACAATTCAATACTTTTTAGAATTATACACATATAAATTTACACGAAAAAAACAGGAATTGTGTTGTAAATGGTTGTTCAGATAAAATGGTAGTATTTGTTATTTGATTGTTGTATACAATAATCTCAATGAATAAAATTAGTGACTCCTTTAAGTTATGAGTTATGTAATGCTTGGTTACTAAGTATAAACTTTTATTATTATTATTATTTGAAAACATAGATATTGGTACAAGGAGGCACCAAATACATATGCGCCACACAGATTTCATTTGATATGTGTGAGGGCTGTGATACTACCTGGGTGCCCAAACCGAAGCAAATGGTTTTCTTAGGGACCCACACCCAGAGCCTTCGACCTGAAGATCTGATCCATAAGGCAGTAGAACATCGTAAGGCGATGCAGTCCCATGGTAGCCAGTGATCAACGATCGGTTCATATGCCATTTGTTCCTTCAGGATACTGGAGCCCATGTGCACCATTGATTTGGGATCGGGTTAAAGCGCCGGACATTCGCTTTTCGTCCCCTCATTTTTGTAAACAACACCCCCGCCACGTGAAGGCAGTGAGTAGGACTTCCCTGGCAGGGGCTATATACGCGTGGCCATGTGAGAGCATTTCGAGAGGTAGAGCGGACTCTTCCCACTCTCGGTCGTACCAGGGCATTCGAGGGCAAGTATACACTTATATATGTACGATTGACTTTGAGTTGCGTTTTAGATATTAAATAAAATACTACTATACAGTTTCTTAAACCTGAACGAATGTAGAGTGTAAACCCCACTTTATTTGTATTGTTTTCTTACATCCAGTTAATATTATTAGCTACAACTGATTGATCATTGAATACAGATCGATGTAATATTCATTTAGTTCTTTTAGTGTTCATGGTGTTCTATCGTTCAAGTTAAAGTGTAGCAACTAGTCGAAGTGACGCGACGTCACTTGTCGATCGAATTCTGTCGTTCAAGTTCAATCAACATTAAGGCACTATATAAAAATTACACTGGTCATTACTCTTTCATCAATTAATTGTAAATATGTCAGTTCAACATGTGGTCAGAATATGGCCCTGTAGTAACATTTCAGGTTAAAACTAGATGAAGTGGGTTGGAATCCCACAGGATCATCAGTCCCTTCATGGTTACAGATACACTTTGTTGGCGATTTCCAAGTAGTACAAAACCTAGGACAAGTAAGGTTTCTTTCCAACTACCTCCAATGATAAAACATCAGCATGGCATTATCAGCTCTCACATCTTAAGACCGAGTACGCAAAACTGTAATTGGCAAATGAAATACATGATTATTATTATTACTGTTATTCTATTTATTACTGATTTGTGTTTCGTCTAATCTACTGTAGTTTGGATTCATTATTTCCCACACGTAAAACCAAAACACAAATGTAGGATAATATACGGTACTATTCAATATGACTATAAATTTAACTTATGCATCACTGAGGTATTCAACCTATGAGTTCAGCAAAGTTTGTGCAGTCACATATAGAATATATTTAAGCAGATAACTGGTTAAAGAACACAAAAATAGTTACTTGTCACAAAAGAAATACGCTTGTGACAAACAAGGAGGGTAAGTTTTTCATCTAACGATCAATTAATTTCATCGATCAAACTCAAACTTTCAACAATTTTTACATACAAGATGTAAGAACATCAATTAATTAAACTTTTAAGTAATATGAACTCATTAGTTGTTTAAAAAGAAAAGACATCTCATACAATCTAAAAATGTAATTATACCTTCAAAAGCAGTAGCCCGATTCAATCAACTCAAGCGTCAATAATTCAAACTTTAAAAAAAAAAAGCATTATGGAAGCTCTCATAGTAAAGTGGTTAAGTAAATTAAAACTAAGAAGGTTAGTAAGGGCCGATTAATATAATAATACGAAAGCTGAAATTGCAAGTAAATTGGATAATAATAATAATAGTTTGATCTAGAACCAAAAGAATGAACAAATAGAACACATAAATGAAAATACCGAATATAATTTCACATTTAGGATGTGACAAAAAGTTATTGTCACATATAGCGTATAGGTGAAGAGGTTTTCACAAACAACTGCACTCATACGTACAAAAAAGAACATTTTACAATCTGTATCCAATAAGGATTAATACATGATTATTTGTTTAGTTGTGTTTCAATAAACTTACCATAATTTACTAATAATTTTCAAACATCTTTTTTTGATAAGTAATAACTTAGATTCAAGAGTCATGCAAATGAATCTACTACTTCACACTCATTATCGTGTAAACATGGTAGCCTTTTTTTAAATTTCGAGTCGTCAACGTTTTTTGGTTAGGGGAGTATTTTCACTATCATCTGATAGCATATTATATACCAACGGGAATGTATTTCATAATTAGTCCATAATACGAGTATGTAAATCAACAGTTGATTAAACTATAAACACGCTATTGCAAAAATATGAACAATTGGAAATAAATATCTAGTTGACTTTCGTAGCGAATATATCTATACCGGCGATTTTGGCTAACAGATATCTCATCTAAAGCTTTTAAATGACCTAGGGAGGTTTAGAATTGGGAAAGTTCTCTTCCTTTTTAAAATTCTCGTTTATTGCCTCCTCCAGTTAAGTTCCACCCCGTCACCACACATTGAAAGGTGTCCCTACAAAGTGAGAGGTCAGAAACTAGCATCTGACTTTTAAATTAAGTCTTAAAATACGAAGGTTCTGCCTAATAAAAGTTAGAAAATTCTAATTTCAAATCATGGGTGTGCATGAGCTTCAGGATTTTAAGAGACTAAATACCCTACGAACATACTGTTCTCAACAATTATCATTGAACTTCACCTGACTTTTCCCGACTTTTTATTTATTCAAACGTAAACATTAGTACAAGGAGGCACCAAAAAGATACGCGTCACATAAATCATTCGATTTGTGTGAGAACTAGGATAATTCCCAGCTGCCCAAGCCGAAACAGCTGGTTTTCCTGGGGGACCCCACCCAGAGCCTTTGATCTAATCCTCATTCAACGGGGTAACGTCAGGTGATGCAGTTTCATGGTAGCTGGTGACCAACAATTGGTTCATTACCCATTTGGTCCTTTTGGATCCTGGAGCCCATGTGCACCATTGGTTTGTAATCAGGGTTTTCCAACTCCTCTAGGTGGGTCCTTCATATTCATCAACCCGGTTAATTCACCGGATATTCGCTTTTCGTCCTCTCGATTTCGTGAACAACACCGCCACGAGAAGGCAATGAGTAGGACTTCCCTGTCAGTGGTCGTATGCACGTGGCAATGTAAGAGAATTTCGAGAGGGAGAGCTGACTCTCCCCGCTCTCGACCGTATCAGTGCATTTGGGGGCTTAATGTAATTAGAACAAATTCCACTTATATCAATCATGTAGATCAAAAGTAGGAAAGTTGATCACTAGCCTGTTTCACTATAGATACCGATGTCATAGTTAACGTAAGTAATTCTCCAGAGCTTTCTAATTTTATTAACATTGCCAACTTATACATTTATATTACTTGAAACACTTCACATCGCATAAACACAATTATTTTAGTTATTTCTCTGTCTTTAACGAGCAATTCGTTTTGTTACAGTATTAGATCTGGTGAGCTTGACTAAATGGCCTTGTCTAAGTAAAGTTTTCCAGTAATTCATTTAGTATTCTTATTTTCAACGATATCAATTGATCAGGCATGTCACTGATTCTTCATAGTCGTTAAATTTAATACGTTATATGCTACGCAGAATTTCTTTTCTTCTTCCTAACAGCGCGACGAACTACCTTGACTACTGAAGTGATTACTCCACGTCAAATGCAACGACGTGGTGGTTATCGTCAAATAAACTGTAGATCTAGTAATAACAACAATGGATTATCTAATTTTAAACCACGTAATATGAGTCATCCATCTCCGAATGGTACAAATATACATAGCAAAATAAATCGACCAATCGCTTCAACATCAAATACAAATACTTCGAACACTAATGCTGGTGTTGGTGGTGGTGGTCTTTTGAACAAACTACGTAAGCAATTCCATTCTGGTCATCTCAGGTAGAGAAATGTTTCAATCACGTTAGTAATAATAATAGTATTAATGAGTGTTTCATAACTGCATCATCATTCACCATAAACTTGTAAATTGACCCCCATATACATATGTCATGCACATAACAACAAAATTCTCTCACTGTGATTCAACTTGTTTCGCTCTATGAATTTTTCTGGTATGACAAAATTAACAACCACCGTTTATCGTTTTTTTTCTTTCGAATTAGGTCCCCTTTTTTGATTGTACATTATATTTACAAATTGTAAAACAGTTAATTTGTATGTATATCGTACAATATATTTCTCAGGTATAAATTATCCCAATTTCACTTGTTCTCATCATCAAATTGTTTTGCTCTTTATATCTTCGTAACTCATTTCTCTCTTGTTAATCCCTTCTTATTAAGAATTGAAAGAAGAAAAAAAAATCAATAATAATTCCAACCATCCAGCTGTTAAAACTTTTTCACAATACTTGAATAATTCTTTCTGTGTTTGTGTATGTAATTTGTATCTAGCACTATTTCTTTTATTACCTAATCACTTTTTGATTTTTTTTTCATATTTCTTAACAATTTTAATGTACTTATCATGGGAAAAATGTCAATGTTTCTAGTCTCTCTGTCTCTTTCTCTTTTCTCTATGAATTTGTTTCTCTAATTATAATCATTATTTAATAATGTTATATTTTAATTTAAAAATCTCTTACTTCCTTTGATTCTATTTCATTCTGATGTTGTTGTTTTTTTTTAATTAGGCAAGATAAGTGTATGTTGTAGAAAATTCGAATTTTCACTAATGAAATCACAAGTTGATCTAAGCTAGTTGCACATACAGAACTTGGACCCAGGATCCATGTTCTGGATTAATTTAGATTAATTCATGATTTCAACTGTGAAAAATACCCTAATAATGAAACTGGATTTCTTATGCATGAATTTCATTGAAAAGTGAATAATCTCTTATAGGTTCTCATATTCTGTAGTTGTTTGTTTTTGTTAAGTAGTTTTTAGTCACATATATTTTTTTGTGTTCTATATTTTGTATATATATATATATATATATATATATATATATATATATATATATATATATATATATATATATATATATATATATATATATATATATAAACGTATTACTGTTAATAATTGTATTGGTTGTCAGTCTTTTTCTCCTAATTTATTATATAACCTTATCAATTTGACCTTTTCTTTTTTTTCTTATCCTTTAATTTTGTTTCATATCCTATTTATTTTCTTTTTTTTTGTTGTTGTTGTTGAGTGCTTACTTACTTTTAAGTTCATCTATTGTTGTTTGGTTTTGATTGGTGTCATATGAAGTAATAGTGACTTATACCCATACTCTTGAACTCCTCTTACTTATTCATTGTTTTATTTGTGCCTTTCATGTTGAATTAGTGTTGTTTTTGTCTATACTATTTAGGTGTCAAAGTATACATTCTATTAGTAATAGTATTTATAATTATAATATTTATAAAATTGTTCATTATATTATGTACCATGGTAAAATTGCATATTATCAATTTTACTATTTTGAAAACAAACTATCATATCTCTTTATCTATACTATGTATCCTGCTGTGATAGTGTTGTTAACTGGTCAAATGCAATAAATCTAAAGTTGTTTTTTTAAATAGTTTTTTCTTAATATTTATACTTATCCTAAAATGAAAACAAAACGAAATTCAAGTTCACTATAGTATTATACGGTATGAACTAAGATCATGTTGATTTGATAGTTACTAAATGTAAACAAAATTTGATCAAACACTTTTGAAAACGATACCTGAAACCTATTATCCAAGATTATGGAAGGAAAAGACTATAAAGTACTTTAAGAACATGTTTTTGTAATAACATTTTTGATTCTGACAGTAAATAAGGGAATTCAGTCTACTTGGAGGTAATTTTTAAAACAAACTGATATCAAATGGATGATCATTGAAAGCTATGATAGGCTGAACAGCCATTTTTTTTTCATATCTTAAACTTCAGTGCTTTTCAGACCTAAAGTCCTAGTGTGAAGCTGTGAACAATGTAATCATCCAAGTTAGGAGTGAAACAATTGAATTTCAACTTGATAGTCTGAAGAAATGTTACTTGTCACGTAACATAAAGGTCCTAATTTCTACCTCGTTTAAAGTGGTGTGCGGAGTCCCAAACTAGGACGAAATTTACTCTTCACTATACCCTGGTCGTTGTTTCTATAACCAAATATGTAGCCACAGTGTGAGAAATACTTCTTTACACTATAATGACTGTTCTCAAGTTAACAGGATACCCCGGCATCTATTTTCAAATGGGTGCTATTCTGTGGCTTATTTGGCCATATATAAGTATAATCTAGACGTAATACTCATTATCATCTACATTACCATAGCAGATCTATATTTCTTATTGTCAATACTGTAATTATTATAGGTCAACATAGTATTTATTCCGTTTTCGCTGTTTAAAAAAACATCCTTAGAAGTCTTCATGAATCAGACTGTATAACTTCGATATAGTTCTATGTTTGATTATCTTATTGTTAGAAACATGTCTACGGGTGATTTTTTTTCCTACTTGATTCTTTTCCATACGTACGAACAGAGAATTGGCGATTAAAGAGAATAAAAGTGTTTGAACAAATGTTTAATATTTTCATCTACTTTCTCTCTTTCTTTTACTTTTCAGTTGTACAATATAAACATAAACAGCAATATAGAAAAGTTTAGAAACTCATTGAGCACCTTAAGGTACTCAATGATTTCTTAAAGTTTAATGCTTATCTTACAGAAGCGAAAATATAGAAAAGTGACTAGTAAATAAATAAATGTAAATTCTTTGAAAGCTTTTTTTCATTTACAAAAAAAAAACAGTGTAGATTTACATTAGTGATTCTGTCTTATTTTTTCTTTCTTTCTTTAATTCTACCTAGTAATGATTATACTTAACTATGTATAAACTTTTATTAAAATTAATTTGTACATTCAAACAATCAATAATCACTCTAATAATCAATAAATGAAACATTGATTTCGGTAATAGTTTGTTTTATGCTATAAAATTAATTCGTTTAGATTATTGTTTCTTATTAACTGATAAAATGTAAAATTGAAAAGATACAGTACTAAATCAATTTATTAAGAAAAAAAAATTTAATCAATAAGTGAACTTGATAGTTTACATTATGGACGTACTTTAACTAAACAACTATTGAAAGTTAAAAAATAATAATTGAACATTGTGTAATTTGAACCATCATCATAAACTAATTATATTCATTAAATTTACAATTCAGCTAGATGTATTAAAATGATTTACTTACGCCTGTTACTCTCAATGGAGGATAAGCCGAAGACCAGCATTCTCCAACCCACTCTTTTCTGGGCGTTCTTTTCTAGTTTTATCCAATTATTGTTCATTTTTCTCATATCTGTCTCCATTTCTCAAAGTTATGTTTTCTTTGGTCTTTCTCTTCTCCTCCTTTGACCTTGAGGATTCAATGTGATGGCTTGCCTTGTGACATAATTGGGTGTTTTCTTCAATGTGTGTACTATTCACTTCCAGCGCTTCTTCCTCCACTGGGATCTGGTTTGTTCTCTACTATAGTAGGTTGTTGCTGATAGTGTCTGGCCAATTGATCCGAAGTATTTTGCGTAGACAATTGTTAATAAACACTTGTATCTTCAGGATGATGGATTTTGTAGTTCTCCAAGTTTCTGATGTATTAAAATTGCTACTCATAAAGCTCAGAAGGTATATGATAATGATGTATCATAGAGTAATCGGTCACTTCAAACATTCATTTTAAAAAATCTTACGTGGACATTACTTAAGGATAGAAAATGACGGAGCATTCATCAAGATAGGAGAGAATGTTTTTATGTTAAGAGCTTGTAAGCTGGTGAATTAACTTTTGAATTATCTGGTGATGGTATCTTCTGTTGAACTCTCTAGCAAAAGATATGTGATTTACTTTGTAACTAGCGGCGCTGAGGTAGGTTCCTCTAGATACTTAGATTTAGCTGCTCGTATTAACGTTTTACTTTTAGGTTCCTGAAGGACTAATACGAGGACTGTGTCTTTCTACATATAAGAAATATTTTATAACATTTAAATTCAGATCTCAAGGAATAATCAGTTTTTGATGGAGTTTTGTTTTCTGAGTTTGATGGTTTGGTCGTGGAGCCTTCATCGTTCTTCTGAACGACATCAGCAGCACAAACTCCCCCAAGATTACAGGTACACCTTGCTGACGAGTGCCAAGTAGCACGAAACCCGGGTTTCCTGTCGACTACCTCCAACCACCATCTAATCCAGGGGGAAGTCTGTCTGACTTCTGCTCCACGACCAAACCATCCAACTCAGAAAACAAAGCTCCATCAAAATTATCTACCTGAGCTAAAAATCTCCACCAGATCAACAATCAGTTTGTTATTTATGTTTAGAAAAGTTTGATTCGCAAACTCATCATTTTCAGACTTCTAAAAGTTGGTCCATGATTCAAATCTATATTAGCGTTTGGGCGTAATAAACAATACTCAAATTAGAGACAGTTTTGATTATGTTCATTCAGTCAGTCATGTGCAACATAGAACCAGAGTTATATGTGTATTTACCACAGTCTGGATCAATATAGGATGGAGAATAATCTGAGATTAATCATATCAAAATAGGTCATTCGTGCTGCTTCTATAATTCTTGATTGATTTCATACGACAGGCCACTCAACTTTGCAATCAGTACATTTAGAGGTATGCTAATGAGCTCTGCCAGTCAAATAAAGAGTCAAAATTCATTGGTTAACATTTCGAAACTTTAGTTATTTGTTGATGTGTGGCACAATAAGAATATGGTAACTTGATGATCCTTGACTCTTAGGATACTTAAAAAAAAACTTACCAATTCTTCCTCCTGACTGATAGGCAGAAAGTCAATTTCTTAGTAATTTTCAACTCCTTTACAGTTACTGAGTCGCAGCCAAGCAGCTATATAATACATTCACAATAAACATTGGCTTGTGAAAGTGCTAATGTACATGCGAACTATCCAGTTGAGATTTTAAACAAAACACAAAGGAGTAACTCGATATGTTCATTGCTTTCTGTATGCGGAAAAGCAACCAATTATATTAAATACTCAAGAATGTAGCATGTTGAACACTTCTGATACTGACTTCCTAGACTTTTACGGCATTAACTACTTGAATCTTGAACGGAAAACAAGGGAGAAGTTCTCCTTTATTCAGTTAATGTACAGAAAACGAAGACTTGTAGAAGAGTTTGGTAGTAAAGTTCGGTAATATTCAAACTAGATCAATTAAACGTTTAAGTAGTTTCTAGATTTTTCTTTGAATTTTTTAAAGAGCACTGATTATTTAAAATGTTCCGGACGAATTTTCCGGATTCCGGAGACCTTTTCAAGAAATTATAAATGACTCAACATTTACCCCCGTTACCCCTCGCGGAGCAGCATAGGTTACCCGTCAGCATTCTCCACCTATGTATCCTGGACAGTCCTTTTTATGTCTGCTTCCAATTCCCGGTCCAGTGTGTTCTTTGGTCTTCATCTTTTCCTTTCAGAATTCCAAGTGAGCACACACTTTGTGATGCAGTTTGACGATGTTCTATCCACTTCCAACACCTTTTCCTAATTTCATTTTCATGTGGAAGCTGATTTGTCCTCTCCCACAAAAGGTTGTTGCTGATAGTATCCGATAAACGGACATTAAGTATCTTGTTTAGACAATTGCATATAAATACTCGTACTACTTTGATGATAACTGTGGTAGTTCTCGAAGTCTCTGCTCTGTACAATAGAACTTCCTTGATGTTCATATTAAAGGTTCTGACTCAATAAGTATATCATAATTACTTTTTAACTTACACCGTAAATATTAAGTATAACACAGAACAATTTTAAATCAGCAAAACTTTTCCAAGACATAAATATTCATGACTACTTCAAAATACACTTCAATTCATTGTTTCAGTGCTTATAAATCTCTTCTCATTAACTGCACTACAATATTTACAGTTAGAAGTTTTCAAATCGTTGTCACGTAGCCATCGACCTTTTTAAAACTAAATTAAAATGTGATTATGTTTTACAAATATGAATGAAAAATATGCAACATAATAATAAACACCAGATCCTTTAAACTTTCTGCATTGTAATTACTTAATACAAGATTATATTATCTTTTAAATGTCATTTATTTAAATTAGAAAGTCAATGGTATGTGGAAGAAAACTGTCAGTTCATTTAAACCAGATTGTAAGCTAATTAGAAAGCGATCATGAACCGATCAATGTTAGATTGCTATTAAAAACCTGAAAACAGGGGACTCCCGTTTTATTCTAGTATGGGATTACTAAACAGTACGCTCCTAGGTTTTCAATGGTGGCCTAACATTGATCGGTTTGTGATCTTAATGGAAATTCAACAATCTTCACAAATATACGCTGATAATTATGATGTAACCACTAACGGCTAACTTCGAGAGATAATCCTCAGAGTTTTAGTGAGAAGTCGTGGCCAGTGGAGTTCGACCGTGTTCGGTGTGAGACTGTTACCTACCAAACACAATAGAAAATGGTCGCGCAATATCGTGGATTGGTTGAATTTA